TCAAAACTTTAGAGAATACTTTAAATTTTCCACGGGGGGGGAGGGGGGGAGGCAAGAACTACAGACAAATAATTAATTTTAGAAGTCTTATCATCTAAGAAAAATGCTAATGTATTCTCTGGACACAAGACATTTGTTTGCAAAATTCATAACCTGTTCACTTGCATCTGCCAGTCACACCACTAAATCACAAGGATGCAATTGTCAGAGAGAAGCAATAAACTGTCAGTGCTGGTAGAAAAATAGAACATCATTGAAAAATGAACATCACAACTTAGTAGGTACATGTTTTCAACCACATAAAAGTATGGCCCTCTAGTCTTCATGGAGTGGTAGGAAGTGGAAAATTTTGGAAATGGAACTAGAGTATCAGGTAATTTTCCTCCTTATGAATTACACTTTTACATAAGATTACATATTCTAAGACACTGGGATGCGGGATAAAGAAACTAAGGCTATTGTCTTTTAGCTTCATTTAATAATGAAGGGTCACCTGGCCAGGCATGGCTCAAGTGGTTGAGCATTGACCTATGATTCAGGGGATCGCGGTTCAATTCCTGGTCAGGGCACATGCCCGGGGTTGTAGGCTCGATCCCCAGTGGGAGGCGTGCAGGAGGCAGCCGATCAATGACTCTCTCATCTTTGATGTTTCTATCTCTTTCTCTCCCTCTCCCTTCCTCTCTCTGAAATCAATAAAGATATATTTTTAAAAATAAAATAATGAAGGCTCAACTTCAAATACAGTATCATAATTAAATATTTTCTCATTACCTTAATATTATAATGAGGTTGAGAATTCATATAATCAAAAAGCATTTGATAATTCTTGAACTGATAATCCCACTCCCTGCGTTCACAATAGCGGAAATCATCTCCCAGTGGGGCCAGGAGAACTGTAGTGCGGAAAAGTTTTGACTTCTTTCGGTACTGGTCCAGAAGCAACTCAGCCCTACAAAAGAAAAAAGGGAAAATATGAATAGTTTTAAGAAAGGAACAATGGGGCAACTCATTAAAAAATGTATTATATTTTTTAAAAACTGTCTATTTTACCTATATCCTAGGGTAGTATGATTTATGAGGCAGATTTTTTTAAACTATCATACTAATTTTCATTATCCATGTAAAATATTCATAAATTTTTTTTTTTTTAATATATCTTTATTTATTTCAGAGAGAAGAAAGGAAAGGGAGAGAGAGAGATAGAAACATCAATGACAAGAGAGTCATTGATCGGCTGCAGCCCGCAACCTGGGCATGTGCCCTGACCAGGAATCGAACCCAATTGCCTGGATCCTAGGTCGATGCTCAACCGCTGAGCCACGCCCGGCTGTGCCATAAATTCTTATGAGATGTAAAGACCTATAGTTTCCCAAAGGATTATCCTTGGAGTTTAAATAAAATCACATAATTATATTGGCATATAATTACTGGGGCATCAATGCCCTCCTAAAGGCCAGCCAAAGAGACTGGATCCCAGATAGCCCGTGTTCTAAAATAATGTAGTCCTCGCCCTGGCTGGTGTGGCTCAGTTGGTTGAGTGTCCTTCCATGCACTGAAAAGTTGTCAGTTCGATTCCCGGTCAGGGCACATGCCCAGGTTGCAGGTTCAGTCCCTAGTTGGGGTGCATATGGGAGGCAAACAATTGATGTTTCTCTCTCTCCCTTACCCTTTCTCTAAAAAAAAAAAAAAAATCAATAAAACCATGTATTTTTTTAAAATAATAAAATAATAAAATAATGTAGTCCAGGAAGACAATAAGGGTTCCTCATCTATATGAACTTTGAGTTTGCTTTGACTTAATATCCCTTTCTCTAGTTAACCTAAAACTGCCTGATTAAACATAAAAAAGTATATTTTGAATGAAACCAATTATAGAGGCATATTTCCTTTCTAAAGGAAGAAAATCAATTCACTTAACAACTGCCATCAATGATCTGAGTATTTTTTATGCTGTCCTTCTCAATACTGAACAATAGATAAAGCTTAAGATTTGAGTGAGCAGTTTTGGTTTCTACCTCCCTGGGCTCTAGCCCATGACTCAAAAGGTCAGCTAAACACAACTTACTGCTATGTTTTATATTTCATATTCTAGTATTCTGCAGATAACCCTTTGGAAAATGCTGAATTGGGCACCATTTGAGGAAGTCTGAGGATACAAACTAAGAGAAAGGGCTTATGAAAATGACAGATGAATTAGAGTAGGTAGTTCTCTATGTTTATAATAGCAAAGCTCAAGAAATTAATAATAAATGACAAATACGTTTTTTACCCAGTACTTTAACTTTCACTTTGAGGGTTATCCAGAAGTAAATTCAAATTCATAATATAAAAACTTATGAAAGAAACTCAAAGAACATCAATGACGGAAAGAGGCATTTTATAGAAATTATGAAAAAGCATTTAACTAAATTGAAAATACCATATGATCTCTTTACATTGATAGTTCCTCATATTGCTTTACAAGTATTAAATTATAAGCAAAATTTTAATGATTGGGTAAAATACAACTGTAATGTTCATATATAAAACAATGCTTAGTTTTGTGAGATTAGCATTAGTTAGAATACTTAATTTTTAATAGTAATTTACTAATATTCCAAATTTACCAAAAACAATTTTAGATTACTTACGATTAAAAAAATACGTATGAGATGAATCACATAGAAAGATAAATAAGAACAAAAGAAATAAGAAAATAAAGGAAATAGATCTCTCAGGCAACCAGCATAAAAAAGGATATGTGATCATTTTAATACATTCCAAGGTTTACTACCTCAGATGTACATGTATAAAACACATAAAAGGAAAGGAATCAGGAACATTAATGTGTGCCTCTTCCACTCTGCAACTATACTAACTTTAAAGCTTCTCCTCAGAAAGAGTCAACACTAGAAAAGCCAAGGGACCAACCTATACCACCTGGCAGATGGTGGGTACTCACTAAATATATGGTAAACTAATGACAAATGAATTGACCAACATCACATTTGAAAATGCGTGGCTGCAATTTGCTCTTATTCTACCAGGTAAGAAATGTCAACTTAACTAGAACCAAGAAAAAAAAAATTCCTGAAATATCAAATCATCTGATACGAAGAATGGTATTTATTTTCAAAGTAGAGGAACCAGCTGAACTAAACGTATCAAATGTGTCACCTGTATATTATAGTTAAATTTCATTTTCTTTAGGGTATTAAAAAGTCAAGTGCCACACTAAGGGGGAATGTCTGTGTTTGATCTCCCTTAATCACAAAGTAAAAACGAAGGTAATATTTGGATGTGAAATAATGAACAGGGTTATTTCAAGACTTATAAGAATTTTTTTTAATCTTATTACATATATTCATTCATCTGTATGCATCCAAGTGCCTGGAAACCACCTTCAGAATCACTAGAACTGAATGAGCACAAGGTGTGTTCCTGAAGGGTTAGATGACACAGCAAAAGAATTACCCAACATGTCTCTCGGGTACTCTCAGCAGCACTGAAAAAAGAAAAAGAGGGGGGCTCACCATACCTATGGGTGCACTGGGACTCTCCAACTGAAAAAGCATTTGACTATACCCTTCAAGCAGTTCCCTATCCCTGACCACCCGAGCTGAGAGGATTAGTGTAAATACCTGATTCAGTGACAAACAGCAAGCCACCCCTGCGCACCCCATGCCCCCTTCCTCATCATATGCTGGACTATTTTCTTATGCCTAATCAGCCTAACCCCTGAAAGCAGGCTGTTCAGTGTTCTTCAATAACTTTCACTGCTGTAGGAACCAAGAAAATGAAAAAAGGTTAATCCCTAATCTTGGATAGTTTTTCAAAACAACTATGAAAGTCAGATTTTGATGGAAAGGATCCATGGCTTGAAGGAGGCTGCCATGCTAAAGGACTTTTGTGTCTGCCACAGAGAGAGGTTCACACTGGAATAATTTCTTTATGACCATGGGACTTGCTCAAGGCAAAGAGACCCAATCCTACCTTCCTCCTCACACACATTATTCAAAATGCAATTTTAAAAATAAACACATTTTACAGAGCACAGCGCAAAGATCTTACTTTATTTAAAATGCTGTACTATTTTTCTAGCAGTTGAGTGGATTATAACATAGTGTTTTATTTTAATGCATTATATGCCACTAATTTTTAAGTGGAGAAATTAAATTTTAAAAGCACCAAAATAAGAACTATAGGGAACTTGGTTTAATAATTGCATCATTAGCACAATTTTCTTTAAAATATGTTCATTCCTTTGATTTTTTATTTAAATATTTTTAAGTATAAATATTTCCAATTAAAGTTTTCAGTAATTCAAAAACATCACAAAGATGCAAAGATTTATATCCATCAGGGCTGGGCAGCATTTGCTATTATTGAAATTGTTATTAAGGGAACAAATAATTATGTTCTTTATGTGTTCCACTTCAATAAACGTGTTTTTGCAGTTGGGTTGCTTTTCTTACCAATTTATACAATAGGGACCAGAAGTTTTGTTATCAACAAAAGTATATGAAATCAATCAAACACAGTAGAAGGCTTTTATAATGAGGGCAAAGGAGATGGTAATAACAGTTCATTATAGGTTATCCGTTGTATATTGATCTACTATTGTTCACTTCCCATTAAGTCGGAACACAAAACAGGCATCATCAATGTTCTGGCATTTTGAGTTGCTTTAGATTTGGTTTGAATGACTACCTTGAACGAGGATAATGTTGGCTACTAAAGCCCATTTATTCAAACCTTCAGCAACAAGCAACTGATGCTTTCTTGTTCAAGATGCTGTCTTACAAAATGCATATTTTCATACCTGTTTTTGATATTTCCAAGATATATTGCTTCTGGGGCAAGTCCCCAGGGACAACCATATCTGCCTCCAGGAAGCCGATTAAAATCAAACTGGCAGCATATTTTAGGATCAGGTCCACAAGTGTGAGGGATGTCATAACTGTAGAAGGGCATCATGTGGCAAAAAATATCTGTGACAGATCCCAGATCTAAAATAAAAAGTCAACAGACAAACGTGCATTTATAAACTTTGTTTTCCCAAAACTGTTCAAAATGCCAGTACTTTATACTTACATAACGCAAGCTCTGCCCTAAATCAACAACCCCTTTAACTACTAGTACATATACCCCAGCAGTACTGAACGACCACCAGCCTAAAGAAACTCACACCTCAGTCTTTATCTACGTCTTATATCTGAACTTAGCAGAAACAGAAGAGCCCTGTCATGAACCAGCATCAGCTGACCTGGATGATACAAACTGAGAAGCAAAACGTATAACCAGCTCATCCAAAATTACGGACAAACCCATCCGTGGCTGCCAGCTCCTGCCACATCTGTTCCCACCTCAGGCAATAGGATACACTGAGAGAGACCATTAGCTGCAGAGGCTGGGTGAGAAAAGAGGAAGGAAGTAAAAGGGGGAACAGAAAGAACAAAGGAAGTGGGGCCTTGTGACAATACTAGGCAAATTCCTATCGGCTTCCTGCAGTAAGAAGAAAGCACAAGGAGAGTTCATGGAGTCACCCCAATGCCCGCCAACAAAGAGCCAGTGGGACCTTTCACCAAGAAGGGAGCATAGGAAAAGAAGTAATTTTCAAAGTCAAAGTAAGCAAACAAAAATGATATGGAAAACGAGCACTGACTCCTGATGCAGAACTGTTTATAATTAAAACGTTAATGCCTGCAAGGTGTTAATGTAACTGCCCTTTGAGTTTAGAAGCCAACCGCCCAGTGAGGCTGGAAGGCTTACCTAGTAGTTAAAAGTGGTCATCTTTGTATGATCCTGATGGGTAACTAGCCCTCCCCCTTTATTTATGTATGGATTTCCAATTTTCAGAAATGGATATGCGTTGCTTTTATAATAAAGACAGACAAAAGAAAAGACAAAAGAAAGCAATATTTACATTTTAAAAAGGGAAACAATGTTTAAGAACCAGAACACACAAAGAAGCTCAACTTAATCCCAAAACATGACTTTACAGCAGCATACTCAAATCTACCAGATAAGTCCTAAAATACTCAGTTTTACCTCACACTCCATTTAGCTTAAATAATTGCTAATTCTTTTCCAAATTTTAAAGCTATTATAATCTGTGTAATTCTGTGCCGTCAGTTGTTTCACTGAACCACATCGTGTGACACCATGGACGCTGGTCACTAACACTTAATATCTGCACAGAGGTTGTCACAAGTCTCAGAACTGATGGAACTTCCTTCTCCTTTCTCCCATAATCAAGAGCATACTCATCCAGCTCTTTCTTCTCACATCATACTATTTAGCAGCCCATTTACACATTTTAGTTTATCTGCTGCATTTGGTGGTGTCTGTCATTTATCAAATGAGACTCTAATTTCCTTATAGGCAAGGATGTTTTCTGTATTTCATCCAAGCACAGTATTAACTACATAAAAGTGCTCAGTAATTTCCTGTTGAATAATATTTATGGGCAATTGGGATGTATGCAATAGTTTAAGTAGGGCTCCTTCAAATTAACAATCCTTTTAAAAGAAATTAATATGTTCCTTTGCATTTGATCAAACCCCCTACAAGTTCTTGTTTTCTCTACAGATTTAATTTTCCAAAATAAAAAACTGTATAGTTAATTTCTTTCCTTATTGAAACACAGCAGTACATATAAGAAAGTTACTATCTAGATTTACAAATGATTTTTCTGAAACATTAAGAGGGGGATCTAGATTACATAGGAAAGCAAGTATGATGTAATGCAGTAATTTCTGAACATTGTTTTAGCAGCTAAATTCTTTTTTCATATGGAATCTGACTGAGAACTCTGTAGTGGGAAGGCAGTGGATGCCGAGGGTTAGGAGCCTAGGTTTCAGAACTGATTCAATCTTGACTCTATACCTACTACCTGTGTGACTTTGGGCAAACGGCCTCACATCACTAAGCCTCTATTTCTTCACTATACAAAAGGGATAATAAAAGACCCTAATTTAAAGAATTATATTCAAGATCTAATAAGAGAGTTAATATAAGGCACATAACATAATGCATGAGCCCTCATAAACACTCAATAAATAAAAATAAACTTAAAAATAAGGTGTACTGAATTTCAAATGGGGATGGGAAAGGCAAAGACCTCCCAAGAGACCTGAATCCTGTCTCGTCTCACCCAACAAAGAGCTGCAGAAGTATGTCCTTGGAACACCTGAGTGCCCACAAATCATAGTAAGAGAACAAGCAATATAGGTAACATGAGAGCCGTTCTAAGACAGGATTAAGGCTTTAAAAGGCAATTCTTACTCAATGCAGAGACAAGACAGAGAGAAGGTACACTAGCTGAATACAAGATAAATGACTTGATATTAGTTCTAATGCATGTTCAATTTTGTGACAAAGACAGGTGCTCTTTAAAATAGAGTGAAAGCCTTATTTATAAAAGACTAATTCCTTCTATTTATTTATTTCCTTTATGCATAAAAAAGAACCCACAATGTTCTATAGATAAATATCTCCACAACGACTTAAAAGAATTTTGACACAAATACATTGGAAAAATAAGAATGTGTATCTTCAGGCAACCTGATTTTCAAGACTGACACTCTGAATAAAACCCGTAATAGCATCAGTTCATAACCCTTGTGAAATAACATCTAGGTGAAGTAATCTTCAACTTTCATCAAACCCTACATACCCCAATTCTGTCTCCAAAAAAACTCCAGCGTTTTATGCAATGAAAAATGCTTCTTAACGGCATAATGAACTCTCTGGATGAGCATATGAGAAAATCCAGCACGTTTTAGAAGATAAGCCATTGTTGGTGAATGTCCAAAAGGATCAATAGCCCAACCAGACCGAGGTTTCACTCCTGTTGAAAACAAAAATAAGCTTTAATTTTTTTAAATTAACAAATGAAATAAAAAAGTCACAACACATTCAGAACCAGAGTTCTATGGTCTCCTCGGTTTTAAGACAAAGGAACTGCCCAGCATTACCCTTCAGGTGCATTCTCAACAAACAGGTCTCTCTGAAGGGAGGATTCTGACACTGCCGCGTCCTCCCAGGCAGGGGAATCGCACTGGAAGGGAATCATTTGGAACTGAAATAAGCACTCTGTCATCTTAAAGATATTAGAAAACTACTGCCATTCAGTGGAGCTAGAGAAATAAACAGAATCAAGTCCTCACTCTAGGATCTCACAGTCCTGTCTTTGTGAAGCTGGATAACCCAGCAATTTGCTGTTATGTAATAAAGACAAGTACACTAACTCATTTCAACTTGTACTCCCAAATCCCAACATCAAGGAATTTTTAGGCTGTCTTTTATACCTTACAACTTCTCCAAATCATTTTATTATACAGTGGCAGAACTGATCAAATAAGTGTACTATATTTCATTAAATCTTAAGGGCTTTTTTTTTCATTTTTAAATTTTTTCAATTACAGTTTACATTCAATATTATTCTGTATCAATTTCAGATGTACATTATAGTGGTTAAACAATCATGTACTTTACAGAGTGGTCCCTCCAATATTTCAAGAACCCACCTGGCCCCGTACATAGTTATTATGATATTATTGACTATATTCTTCATGCTATAATTTACATCTCTGTAACTACCAATTTGTACTTCTTAATCCCTTCACCTTTATCACTCAGTTTCCCAACCACCCTCCCCTCTGTAAACAGTCAGTCTGTTCTCTATTTTTGATGCTGGTGCTTTCTCTCTACCTAAAAGATGTCAATGGAATTTTTCACACCTGACTCCCACCAATATTAAGAGCCATCAACTAAAGATATATCTCAATTTCAGAGGATAAAATATAAAAAATAAATAAATGCAAAGATTAGAATTGATGAAATAAAGGTTATTCATCTGGCATTACACAAATCTGATCTTTTACTTATTCAGGATTCTCAAAGAAGGCTTCTTCTACATACAATCTATATATAAGTAATATTAGTGTGTATATTTCTTTTATTCGAATACCTGTTTAGCACCTTCCATATACCTAAGACTATGACAGGCCCTAGGATTACAAAAATGAATTAATCTTAGTTCTGACTCTGGTTGCAGACACTAACATGCAACTAGGCATAACACAGAGTAACAGAAAAGACAGCAGTGGGAAGACCTCTGTAAAACAATATTGAAGATGAACACCGAGATGGGAAATCAGCAAAGGAGACTGAGAAGGAAAAGTCAGAACTTTCAGAGGACCAAGAGTATGTGTCAGAACTTAAAAAACTGACCACATGAGACTCGTGCATTTCACATATGTAATTCTAAAAACTGTAAGGAAATCTTGAACTCTGCTTAGTAACTGTGTGTGTCCATATGGGTTTAACAATTCTGAAACACCTTTCATGTATTCAAAGATTAAACAAATTAGGACAAGGAAACCAGAATTTTCACTGCTAAGAAAAGGAATCATAAACATGTAAATGTGGGAGACTGGAATATACCCTATGATACTGAATTAAACGAGGAAATATTAGTACTAACCTAGGGTTTTAAATACAAATGCTTGAACACGTGTGCACGCGCACACACATACACACACACATGCTAGCTCAGTGCACTACAAGGGCCTAGATGTAGTTAACACCTCAGTACCAATAAGCACACTGTAGCTCCAGGTCTGGATCTCTAAATACCATACTCTATTAAAAATAACCTTTAAGAAATGGTTATTTCACTTCTTAGTCCAGGGCTGAGGCTGCAAAGTACAAGGTAAGCCTGGAACATATTCTTGTGCCACAAATAAAAGAAATGGTCAAAGAGCTCTGGTCAGTGTTTCTCAGTGGTTAGACCATCGGCCCACACACAAAAGAGTTGAGGGTTTGACACCCAATCAAGGGCATATACCTGGGTTGCAGGTTTGATTTGCAGCCCTGGTGAGGGCCCATGCAGGGGGCAACCAGTGGATGTGTCCTTCTCAAGCTGATGTTTTTCTCTCTCTATCTCCCTCCCTCCATTGTACTCTCTCTGAAAAGCAATGGAAGAAAGATCCTCAGGTAAGGATTTAAAATAAATAAATAAATAAACTCTGATATGAAAGGAGGTTTGAGCTAGGAAGACATCTACAACCCAGTGTCCCACAAGGGTTTTTCTTGGTGTAAGCAACTATTTTTCTAAAAAGGATTTTTTTTTTAATAAAATAATAAAATAAAATAAAATAAAAAGATAACAAAAAAATTTAAAAATTTAAAAAATAAAAAGGGGCAAAATTAAGGAAAAGTACAGTATAAGAAAAATGGAAAATTTTACTAGCCAATAAAACCAAGAAAGGTCACAGAAAACATTTTGCACCATTATGCAAAATTAAGATTACCAAAATATGTAGAAGTAAAAACTGTTAGGAAAAATTACATAAAATCATTTAAAACAATAAACATACGACTCAGTTTTTGGCAAATCTAACACACTTAAAATTAGAATATGAATAATATAAATAATATAACTAATAAAATTGGATTATTTAGAGTACATTTAATGTTAAAGCTTAAGAGCGGTCAGAGAACAGTAACAAAAATGGGTATTTTGGGCAGAAGAAAATCTTTAAAATTCAAACTTAAGAAAGTTTATAATGGTCCAATCTGTTTACTAAAACTCATAAAAGCATCCCATAACCAAATGTAAAAATAAAGTCTCCAAAATAACGTTGTTCTAAACTGTTTAGAAAACAAAACTGAGTACACTAATTTACAAGATGCAGCCAAAGCTACAAGAAGAAACTCCATATTCTCAAATGTGTTCATTATCTAAATGTAAGAGCTAAGCTAAAACCATAAAACTCCTAGAAAACTACACACAGGAATAAATCTTCATGACCTATTAGAAAATGGTTAGAAAATGGTTTCTTAAATAGGACATCAAAAACATAAGTGACATCAGGCCAGTGTTGGCTCAGTGGTTGAGCGCCAACCTATGGACCAGGCAGTCACAGTTTGATTCCTGGTCAGAGGGGACATACCCAGGTTGTGGGCTCAATCCCCGGTGGAGGACGTGCAGGAGGCAGCCAACAGATGATTCTCTCTCATCATTGATGTTTCCCTCTCCCCACCCCCTTCCCCTTCCTCTCTCTGAAATCAATAAAAACATATTTAAAAAAACAACATAGGTGACAAGCAAAAATAGATAAACTAGATTTCATCAAAATTAAAACTTTTGTTCATCAAAGGACACCTTCAAGAAACTGAAATGACAACCCACAAATGGAAAAAAATATTTGCAAATCATTATCCTACAAGGAACTTGTATCAAGAATATATAAAGAACTCTTCCAAGTCAACAATAAAAAGAAGAAAAAAAAAACAATTTCAAAAATAAGCAAATTATTTGAATTGACATTTCTCTGAAGAAGATATACAAATAGCCAACATACATATGAAAAGATGCTTAACATCATTTTAAGGAAATGCAAATCAAAGCCATAATAAAATACCATTTCACACACATTAATAAGTCTAAAATAAAAGAGAAGACAATAACCAATGTTGTTGAAGATATGGAGAAATTAGAGCCCTCATATATTACTGGTGGGAATGTAAAATGGTGCAGCCATTTTGAAAAACAACTAGGCAGCTCTTCAAAAATGCTAACTATAGTTACCATATGACCCAGCAATTCCACTTAGGTATATACCCAAAAGAAGTGAAAACATATATCCTCACAAAAACTTTACCCAAATATATAATAGTGGCATTATTCATAGTAGTCAAAAAGGGCAACAATCAAAATGTTCATCAACTGAAGAATATATAAACAAATGTAGTGTATTCAAGCAACAGAGTATTACTCAGCTACGAAAAGGAATGCAGCACGATCCATGCTACAGAGTGGATGAACCTTGAAAACACAATGCCAAGGGGAAGAAGGCAGTCAGAAAGGCCATAATGTATGATTCCATTTATGTGAAATGTCCAGAATAGTCAAATCCAAACATTTTAAAGGAGATTAGTAGTTGTCTGGGCCTGAGGCGGGAAAGGGAAAGCCTGAGACAGGGAAGGGGGGACTATTAAAGAGTAAGAGGTTTCATTTCTGAGATGTTGAAAAAGTCCTAAAAACAGATGGTGGTAATGGTTGCACAACTCTGTGAATATACTAAAAACTACTGAACTGTACATTTTAAATGGGTGCATTTTATATATGAAACAATACATTTATAAGAAAAAAATGTATGCTGAGCACAAGAAGCCAGATCCAAAAGAGTCCATATATATGAAGTTCTTAAATAGGCAAAAATAATCTACAGTGATAGAAATCAGAGAGCAGTTGGCTGCAGGAAGAGTTGAGGAGAAGGAGGAACTTTCTGGAGTGGTGAAGATGTGGGTTAAACAGGTACATACATTTGTTAAAACTGAAACTCTACAGTTAAGATTTATATGTTGCACTGCACGTAAACTGTATGTCAATAAAACCTAAACAAAGAAAAAATCCACAAAAACTGAGATTTAAAAAATGAATATTCTTAGCTTATAATACTCTTGGCTTGGAAAGGTGGCACTATGTAGGGGTGTCCGAGGCCACTTCCCAGTCAGTGATTTAAGACAATCTACAGGACTCAGCATATAGCTGTCCTCACAGCTACGCTTTATTACTGTGAACAAATACAAAGCAAATTCAGCTAAAGGAAAAGGCAAGGGCGCAGTCCAAAGGAAACCGGGCACAAGCTTCTAAGCACCCTGTCCCTGTGGAGGCACACATGACACGTTTAATTCCTCCACCACCAAATGTGACAGCACATGAAACACTGTCAACCAAAGAAGTTCCTGAGAGACTCAGTGTCCAAGGTTTTCATCGGGGCTGGCCACGTAGGCACCCTCTGCCTAGTACATACTGAGATTCAAGACCTCCAGAAGAAAAACAAGTATTTAGCATGAACTACACTGTTTTACAAACAATTTAAACACAGCAAGCCACTGTTAGCATTTAGGAAATCCAAGCCCCCAAACATTAGCCAAGCGCCAGCCTTGTAGGCAAGACCTTTCTAAGGACAGCAGTTTCAGACCTACTATGTTATTATCTCTTTTCTGCACAGGCATGGTATCTGCAACTTATTCTAATAATAACAACAATCACAACAACAATGTGGAAAGAGAAAAAGAAAGCAGATATGCAGAAATGTTAATAATTGGTGAACATGTTAAGGGGTTTATGGGAGTTCTTTATCGTATTCTTACAACTTCTCTTTAAGTTTGAAATTATTCCAAAATAAAAAGCAAAGAAAAAATTAATGGGGATTTTATCTTTACATAGAAAAAAATTTAAATAACAAAACATCTAGAAATAACTTCCATAAAAGCATGTTTACTTACCATACAGAAATTATAAAATTGTACTGAGAGATGAAATATTTAAAAAGAATTACATACTGTGTAGCAGAATGCAAATATTAGGTATGGCAAAGTTTCTGTTAGTCCCATGTCCTTGTGAGTCACAGTGAACATCTGATTTTATCAGTGAAACATCCTCTTCCCCACTTCTTGTAATAACAGCGCCCTTCCTTCCCCATGCAGACCCACCCATTCACATGGTTCAGGTGAGGCTGACCCACAAACCCCTCTTCCCCGGAGACCATTTCCACCAAACTGACTAGGCCTTAGTGATTTCAGTCTTATACCTTTGGCCACAGTAACTGGCTCAAAAATAAGCACGTCTTAAATTGGGCTAATTAGGTAAGGTATTAGGGAAAAACTCCTCCTCCTGGTTGTTAGAGTGGGAAGATGAGCCCTAATTTCCTATGGCCTTCTTACCACGTGGTGGGAATGAGGAGAGGATGAAAGCCATGCAAAAATGAACAGAGCCAAAGAGACAGTGCCAGGTGCCCAGAAACATACTTTGAGTCCCCTGGATCTAACCTCACCTGAAGCTACCATATATCTGGAATTCTCAATGACAAATGAATACCTTTCTTTTTTTTATTTCCTTAAGCTAGGAAATTAGGTTTTTGCCTCTTATGACCAAGTGTGTTAAGTAATATATAATTAAAATCCCAATGGAGTACTTTTAGAAAAAAATTATTGTAATTAATAAAAATAATAGGTAAAAAAAATAGATAAAATAGATTAAACAAGGTACATGTCCCTAAAAGATTATATCTATATAACTCAGTTTATGATCAAAGAAACATCAAAAATTAAAGGATAAATTATTCAAAAATAGTCAGTACTGGAAAATTAGCTATTTAAAATAATAAAATAGAGCCTCATCTCACAATCCCCCAAATTAATTGCCCAAAGTAGTCCAAATGAAGGGGAAAGACATCAATACATACCTAAATTCTTTTCCAGCCATTGATGTCCTTCAATTAGTTGGTCAATTATGGCAAAATAATGTGCAGCAGCTTCATCAGGCATAACCCAGCCACCTGTCACAATTTCCAACTGACCATTTCCTAGTAAACTAAAAAGAAAATAATGTAATAATTTAAATTAATATATATGAAAGTTCAAATAAAAAATTAAAATCAGTATAAACATTATGGACAGCCTTTAAATATAACTGTATTTATTATACTAATTGTTAAAACATTTTTTTAAAATAGTGACTGAATTTCAACTTTAGGGCTCTGGTGATAAAATATCCTAAAGTGTCTTAAGTGACCCCTCCACCCCAGGTAAAGCCCTGCAGGTCACTTTGGAAATTCCTTTTCATAAGGATATAATCTTCCACACAACCTCAAAGAAGCCTGATAAGAGGAGCCATATCTGATTTATTTCTCAATCTTGCAAAGCAACCTGCAAAGTGCTTAATTCAGAGCATAGCCTTGGTGAGTGCTTATTGGAGGGCTGTTATTTTAAGCATGGCATTTGTTTCAATATCCCTATATTGAAAAATCAGTATTTATTTTAGTCCTACTGACACTGGTAAGTTAATCATACAAGCTACAGAGAAGTAACAATGATAAGGGTGAAGCTAGTAAATAGCACATGCTTCTGGGAATACAGAAAACATAAAGCACGTCCCTCCAGATTCAGTTAAAATGTAGGCTACATAGTTTATTTTTCATTATTGCGTGAAAAGCTCTAACGTTATCATTATCTGTCCATTGAATACTCCTTTGCCGTGATACCATACAGGGTAACTAGATCTCCAGTCCTAGAAAAACTGAATTGTCATAAGAAGATACCTTCCTCTGAGAAGGAAAACAAACTATTAAAAATTTGACAAAGTACCTGAGGAGGGATGAAAGTCAAGAATTTAAGCAAACATCTTAAAAGCCACAGACTTGTCAGTTTGCAACAAGATGTTTTAGAAAATGGTGTAAAATTTCAGAAAGAAAAGCAGCTTTAATAAGGATACACATCACTGGATACCTGCTGCTAACAGCCAACTACCAAGTCAAATTTAGCTGAAGCATGAAGCAGACCAGAGGCATAGGAGAGAGTGTTTTCCTCCAAAGCCTTTAAGAAAAGTCACACATGAACACAACATCTGATTTATTCAAACATACGCACGACTATACAGCCAGTGATGAGTGCATAATGGACACAACTTCTAAAAATGAACCGAAGAATAATTCCTGGTATAAAATTTTTAAATGTTAATTAAATCTGTATTGTCATGGGAATCACCAACTAATATAATTTTGCATGGAGAATAGAATGGCTCATTATAGCGTCTAAAGAAAACCAAATGTCCAGTCAAACCTCAGATTCTCACAGGCCCAAATCAAGAACTTATAATTTAAAAAGCTGTAAATTTCTAAAAACTGCATTTCTTCGATAACACAACTAAATCCAAGACTAGTTTGTCCTGCTCTTACAGTCAGTGGGATTGAGCCTCTCGTTACTTTTTTCTTATCTTTCTGGTGATTGCCTGATTCAGCCACACTTTAGAGGCCGTGGGCCAGACCCCTACTTCTCATGCTTTATGGCCAGTATGTGGAAGCCTGAGATGTCAGGACAGATTTAGGATTTAATCTCTGGCCATCAAATATAGAAACTTGACTTCCCTATCTCAATATTCCAATAAACAGAAACTTCAGAGGCACATTTTTTTAGTGAAACTCAAAAAGCACATCAATAAGTTTAGACTTGTATTATTAAGATAGTAACCTCAAACATTTCTTTCATTTCAATATGCAAACAAAGATAGCTAAGAGAATAGGGTAGAGGGTTCACTTAAATATACACACAGGAAAAAAGATGTGAGAGGATAGTAGAAAGATTAGAGAAAGACTTGGCATTCTTGGAGAAGCAATGAAACCCAGCCATGTGGTGAATACATAATATCTGTAGTAATTGACGGTACCTTTCCTACCAGTACATATTTCGAGCCTATTCCATGCCAAAAGGGCCACACAGAGAAGCTGGTCAAGGCTCTGGCCAACACACAAACTGTTCTAGGTTCTAACAACTCACAGGGCTTCTCCACTGAACAGTGGTCTCAATAGCAGGAGCAGATGTGACGTAAAAACTACTTCAACGCCTCAGAGCCCAGAGAGAAAAAATGAATATGTAATACACTGGGTGCTAGTCAAAGGAAGCGTGAAGGCTAATGTCTCAGCTGCCTGACTGAGTCAGGGCACACATTTTGATGTATTTTTTATAAACATCGTGCAGTATTTAACTGCATTTAGCCAAAAAAATATTCAAATAGGAAGCCTAAGAAGTAAAAAGGATGTTAACATAGTCATTTTCAAAATAAAACAAGCATAGACAGAAAATGTGCCTATTTATTTAACAAGAGGAAGTTTCTTTTAAATCCACTGGATATGTGTTACAGGTAGGCGCCATCACTACCATTGGTTACATTAGTTTGAATCACAAAACAATGGAAAGGCTAGATGTTTGCAGAGATCTCCCTTTAGTTAACGAGATTTTAATTTTTAAAAGCTTATAGAGCCAACTACTCTGCCACAGGGCGGAGAATCAAACAAGTCACTGCTGGAACAGATTACGAGGTCATCTGAGGTATGTTTCTGTTAAGTTCCCACAATCAGTCAGTGTTCTTCAGGGATAAGGGAAGCACACATGGAACCCTGCAGGAATTAGCAGGCTCAGCTCTGCAACAGTTAGCTCACAAATTTAAGTACAGACATTTAATCCATAGACTCATCTGAGGAAAAACAAGCCACTGCATGAGCATTACACTAGCAGTCAAAAAAATGCTATCTGTAATGCCACTTAGCACAAACCCAGAATTTTAAATAATGGGAACAAACCTATGTAGCTATTAAGTTGTTCCCCAAAACATACATTTAGGCAAGAAACACTAAGAATATTTAAGTAAGTAGAGAAAAAATGCTATTACCCTACTTTTATAAATAAATGTAATAAATGAATAAATGTGAGTGGTTATAGCTAGAAGAAAGGGAGCTTTAGCAAAGCCTGACAAGAAACAAAAATCACTGGCCCTAATGTGGCTATAAAACAATTTTTTTCTTCAAGCAAAATATCATTAAGGATCAGGCCTATAGTTCAGAATATTTCCCATGGTCAAAACAAAAGCTCTCAAAAGGAGTTTGACTAAAACAATGGATTAAGCACTAGATCTAATTTGCATTCCTACCCCCAACATCTTACTGTCTTCTACCCTTAATATTGGGTTGAATCACATAAAATTGCCATTTTTTACATCAAAAGTTGTCAAATATCAGCAATTTCATATGGCCCAATGTAAGTAAAATGGCCAACAGAATATATAAAAAAGAGAAACTTGTGTCCAGGTAGAATAAGGAGAAAGGGACCATCCTTATGCCACAAAATCAGCAGTGTTTGTGACAGATACTATGCAGGTAAAACTAAAAGAATTCAACAAATCCTGACCTACAACCCTCCTGCATGAAAAATCAGCATGGAGTCCCAAGTAGTAAGGAGAGAAGAGTCTAAGAGATTCTGGTAACAGTCCCTAATCTAGAGGGCCAAGGGCTGACGCAAAGCTGGATCTTGGGACAGACACTAATCACAGTCCCCATCCTTCATCCTCAGGGTGTTTGGTGAGCCCCACCTTGCAGGAGCCTCTTCAGTCCCAGGCCCTAACTGCTGCAGAGGTCAGCGCCCTAATGTGGCTACACAGGGACAGAGCCTGGCATGGCCTCACCTTAACCAAAAGCAGCAAGCAGCAAGCCCCGTTTCCTTCTGAGGTGGCGGACTCTTTCCTACTGTCAGTGAGGCAGCACCTTCAGACAGGCCGAGGCTCCTACCTAGCTTACAAGCCACACAAGAGAAAGTTAGATGCAGAAAGCCAGCCGCGGGTGCCTCATCTGACAAAGAGCCAGCCGCGGGTGCCTCATGGATCAACCAATCTTCCCACAGCCCCAGCTCCTCTCTTCCCATCAGTCAGTCCTATTCATAACCGGGCATCCTTCCTGGATGCTGGGTCCATAACACTCATCTTCCAGAACCCAGCTTTCCAACAAAGGATCTGAGGAATAACCTATCAGGTAAGTTTCTTGTTTGCAAGCAACACTAGCTAATGCTGGAGGGGGAACGTATGGGAGACTGTCCTAAACACAGAGTACTGAGGACAGGCTAAAAGTCCACACTTAACAAAAGGCTGGAAGAAAACAAGAGATCATGTGCTATGGGGAACACAGGGACCAAGCCACAGGACAGGAAGACTCTTGCAAAGGCACTGGTGCTGTGAGGGATGACCTGCAACCTTCCCTCCATGTCTGTTTCCCTTCTTTCCATCTGTCCACCCTCGCTTCACTCTCTAAAGATTCAAAACCCTGGAAAAATAATATATTGATTAACTGAGCTCAGGCCATAGCTGGCCCATCTGATCTGGGCAGGAAGATGGAGGATGTGATTTCTGTGAGACACCGTTTCCCAAAAGGAAATCTGGTGAAATGGATGTTGGCTAGCCAATTAACTAATACCCATGGCAAGGAAACAAAGTATTTCATTAGAGAAGGAAGGGATTATGGGAGAGTTACATTTTCTGTTTTGGAACAAATTCCAAGTGTGGATACATCTGTTATTGCTCAAGGATAAATAAAAAGGGGGAATATACTTGAACTTACAAATAGCAACAGCAAGAACACAGAAATAAAGGGTAAAAAAAAAACATAGTTAAAACTAAGCTTTTAAAAGCCAGAAAAAGAACAGGATCCATACCACAGAGAAGTGAATCTGAGGGTAGGGAGGGATCCTCTAGGAGAAAACTCCTAGAAGCAGTGAATATCACTAATTTAAAATGTATATATATGTGCAAAAAAGAGGCCAGAGATCAATACCAGACAACCGAATTCTAAAACAAATGAAATAAAAGTGGTAATTAATAAGAACAGAATTGTAAGCTGGAGAAATGTTTGAATTGGTTGATGGAATATTTAATAAGTTTTTTATATCTACATACCTGGTGAAAATTTAGAATTTTATGGATAATGTAGGCATAAAAACAGTGTGGAATGCTATTATTATTATTATTAAATGACCGCTTCTTGGAAGCCTGCATATCAACAATGAGAAAACTCACTCTTTACTATCTAATATACTTTAGTTAGATTAAAGAGCTAAGTATAATTGCATGGGGGGAAAAACAAAGCAAAAAAAGAATTTTATGGATAATACTTTTTAAACCCTAAAAATATCTGAGCAAAGGGGAAGATGATCTTCACTAAAACTTTACTAAGGAAACATTTTAAGAAAGGAAATATAAATTGTATAGTTAAATTCTGCTATTAAAAGATAAAGACCCTCAGTGTGACTTCAGAACTAAAAACAATATTTGGTGTCCAAAGTGGCAAATAAACGTTAAAATAATAAGAGTTGCTAATGTCTATTAATGATTTAAAATACTCCAGACATTGTGCTAAACACATTATTTGCACTCATTCAATCCTCATAAAAAAATAAATTAAATACGTCCCAGTATTACCCCCACTTGACAAATTAAAAAAATGAGGTACAGAGAGGTTAACTTCCCCAAAGTCACACAGTAGATGGGAGTTTGCCAGATTTAAACCCATGCAGCCTGGCTCCAGTGCCCAGCCATTTGAACTACCACTCTAGGCTGTCCTTAAGATAGAAAGGGCAGCACAGATCAGTCAAATCCAAATAAAATGAATAAAAATTGTACAGTCCATACTCTCTGACCATAAGACACGAAAACTAGCTTTTAAATCTAAAGTATAACTGGGGGGGAAATTGCACTTGGAAATTAAAAATTATTCTCCTAACATACTCAAATCAAGGAGAAAACAATAAATACAGTTATAAAACATTTAAGAAAAATATATAATAATAATAAAATAACATAAAAATGTAAAAGCTAGTTAGAGCAGTGCTAAAAGGCAAACACACAAACAGAGACAAACAGAGACATAGTCCTTATTAAAATAAGTGAACTGGCCCATTTAGCTTTAGTAAAAGCAGGTAGAAGGAATTAGTGAAAGATAAAAGCAGAAAAGTCGAGTAAAAACCAATAACATATAAATAGTTCTTTGGGGGAGAGAAGGGGTACAAAAACCAACAACAAAAAAAAAGCTTTAGCCAGTCTAATCAAGACGAAGAAAAAATTCAGCTTCCCAAAAGTAATGAAAAGAAAACTACAGATGTGATAAAATCTTACAATCTGAACACTTGCACTAAAATCTCTATAAAATTCTCATTTAAGAAAATATGTACTCAAGGAGTAATGTAAGACCTAGACAGACAAAAAAATTTTTTAATCTTAAAACTCAGTCAAAGAATTACCTATAAAACAAACACTAGTTCCACAGGGCTTTATAGAACAGTTCTTAATATAAAAGTTTGCAAACTAGTAGGTAGCTCTATTTAAACGAAGGATTCTGTTTCACTGTGTGTGTGTAAGTGTGTGTGTGAGAGAGTGAGAGAGAGAGGAGAGAAGAGAATCTAAATTGCTGCTAACATTTCAATTTAAAAAGTCAAGATATTTTAAGTAACATTTTGGAATTCCAGTTTGTCTTGAATAATTGGAGAACTATCCTGACCACTCTGGTTCCCGTGGCCAATGTGGCTGGAGTGGAAGAGAGGCTAGCCACTGTGGGTGGGGCAACTACTCTTGGTTCATCCCAACACCCCCAAAGCCCATAGCCTTCAGTTATGGCACTTTCCTGGCCAATCTTATAAGCATTTTAAGTGTGCTCTGGTGGAAGGGGGGGAGGGAGGGGTTAAAAAGCAAATTCCAATGGCTAACCAGTTCTTCCCAAATTACCTTTAAATGTTTATGTCAATTTCCCTCAAAATCCTTTTTTTAATAGGGTAGAAAGAATTTTAAAAATTACTTCTGAAGTTCTTTGGGAAAATTAAGTGCTCACTCATTAAAATAATTTTTCAATAAAGAAAGACAAGGAGACATTTAAACTGTCAGTTAATGAAACTTCATAAAGCTCCAACAATTACAAACAGAAAAGTCCATGAAAGAGGTCAGAAAGTCCAGAAATCAGCGCATCTCTAAATACAATAAAGATGGCACTTCAAATCAGTAAAAGGGATGGCCTATTTAAATCTTCGGGAAGCAGCACAGCATGAAAGGGAATGGACAGGCTGGACTGTAGGGCTGGACAGGCTGCACTGAACAGCATACCATCGCGGCACGCCCCAGCCGGGTGACCCCGAAAGACCAGTGAGTGTCCTCATCAATAAAAGGTGAAGAGTCATTGTACCTACTTCACAGGATTGTTGTGAGGATTATCAGTTACTATTTGTAAAGTACTTAGAACAGGGGCTAATACAGTAAGTGCTGTAATGTGACAGTAAATATATAAAAGAAAACAATATATGCTAAAATAATCCTTAAACTCCAGGGAGCAGAGAGGAGGGGGATATGGTAATTTCAGGATTTTAAAAACTGAATGGTGAAAAATGAAACTAGGGAAAAGAGTACTATTTATTTGATCTCTAGATTAGAAAATACCTTTTAAATTTTACAGGCAATGTAAATATCAAGAAAACAAATTAATCAATTTGACTACATAAAAATGTTAAGTCTGTCTATCAAGCAGTAAGAACTAAGAAAAGAAACACTTGAGGCTAAATAGGGTTGATATGTGCATGTGTGTATATGTATGTGTATGAACATAATTACAAATCAGTAAGAAAAGTTACATGACCAAGCAATTTATAATGCTTTGCTTAAATATATGAAAAATATGCAGTATTATCACTCATCAAAAATGCAAATTAAGCCCTGGCTGATGTTGCTCAATAGCGTACACACCAAAGGGTCTTGGGTTTGATTTGGTGTGTAGAGCAATGGCGTACACACCAAAGGGTCTTGGGTTTGATTCCCAGTCAAGGGCACGTACCTGGGTTGCAGGTTCATCTCAGCTCTGGTCAGGGTACGTGGGGGAGGCAAGCAATCAATGTTTCTCTCTCACACTGATGTTTCTTTCTCTCTCTCTCTTTCTCTCCACCTCTCTTCCTTTATACTCTCTCTAAAAATAATGGAAAAAATGTCCTCAGGTGAAGATTTTAAAAAATGCAAATTAAAATTATATTTTTAACCATAAAATTGGTCAAGGTTTTAGAGAAAAAAAACTGTATTACTGGTGAACAGGCAGAGAAATTGGTACACTACGATATGGAATATTGAAGAATAAAGAATCACTGAAACAACCTTTCTGGGGTCCCTTTGACTATATGTTTCAAAAAACCTTTGAAAGATCAAGCCCCTTTAACCTAGTAATTCCATTTCTAGGACAAAATTGGAACATAAGGATTTTAATGCAAAAGTTCCAAGTCACTTTTTCAGAGATGAACCAGAATCAAGGAAAAACAGATGTGAAAAAATATTTTACGTTTCAAATATAAAGCTAAGAATTTTCACCTTCTAAAAAAATCAACACCTGTTTCACTATACAATTAATGTTTAATACTACCAAAGTTCAAAAAAAGTTTAAAAACATACCTTTTAATAATATCCTTCTTGAGCTTATCTGTAGTGTCCCACCACTTTGAAAGGTAAGAGATCTCAGACCATATAAATGTCCTCCGTGAGTCTTCTTTCAGCTTAATGGCCATGTTATTAAAAATATACTGAGTCTTCTCTTTAAAGTAGTCATTGAAAGTCTTCAACCAACCTAAATCAAGACAGAAATATAGCGCAAATGTCTGGTTCATATGTCTGATTTCAACTTAGTCATATTCCGTTGTATTACCTTTGAATGCCCTTGGAGGTTTCAGTCATATAAAGACATATGTAATAATTTCACAAATGTTTTGAATTAATGAAATTTCATTTGAATGAACATGAGACTTGCAAGGTCAGTAAAAATTAAATTATAAAAATACTCTGAAAGCTGCACAAAATCAGATACAAATGGGGAAAATGACATAAGGCCAAAAAGCACTTGTTTAAACTTAACAATTATAATATCTAATTATTTATACTTTATCTCTAGTTTAAGGAATTTTCTTATTTTAAAAAATGTGAACAATGCTAACAAGTTGGCACTACTGTTCTCATAATATGGGAGGACATTTTTATCCTCTGAGGGCACAGCTAAAATTCTCCACCCGTTAAATAAGTTAAACTAAGAAAAAGAAAATCAAAAGTACAAACTGTATGTAATAGCCAGCAGCAGAGCAATAAGGTAATTACAACACTACTATGAATACTGAAAAGTAGAATTCTGCCAAAGAGGCATTAGTTCCCAAAGGCTGTTCATTATTCCCTTTTTTGGTAGCACAAATTTGACACTAATCAAACAACAAATGGGTACACATCTATGTAAACTTTTCTCAAGAGAGAATTGTAAATGTTGATAACTTACTTCTTTGCCTTTTCCTTCTACTTCTCAAACATCCAGGAAATTTTATCTGAAGACATGCAATTTGAGTATAAAGAAACATTTCTAACAAGACCCATATGTCCCAACATAGCCCCACCTGCAGAGCACTGAACAACGTAACGAGTGACTGAAGCAAAAACGTACAGAGCCACGGATTCCACCTACTGGCAAAGTGGACCCTCTGGAAAATAATCTCTCATCTAGGCAATCTTACAGGGAGGGTGCATCTATACATCCAGGCTGAACTACTGCTCTATTATTTCCACGTCTCAAACATGTGGGAAACTAAAATATAAGGGCTTCAACTATTCCTTTTGTCTCTATGATTAAGTTAATATTCAATGTATACTGTATTTGCTGGCACAAAATAATAAAAACCTGCCATGGCAGAGAAGACAATAGAAGTATTTTGACAACGCAAATATGAGCTTCTGAAAAGGGTACTGCCACTGTGACTATACTTCCCCCTTTTGCTTTAACTGAAATCCATTCATTCTATAGTTATTTACTGAACACCAACAAAATGATAGGAGTCAAGGAGGGATATAGTGTAAAATACTCTTTACAGGACTTTCTTTATCTAGGGCACTTTTAAGCTGGTTTTTCACTAAATAATGCTACCTGGACAATTCAACTTTTCCATGTTTCAATTAAATGTCTGTACCTGAAAATAAATAAATAAATAACATAACCTCAGATATCTCAGTGTGTTCAGACCTGAGCCTGGTATATAACATAGCACTTGATAAATACTAACTGCTATTATTATTATCAGCATAAATATTACCATAAGTCTTTAAATGCCTCGCCCCATCTCTACAATCAAAGCAGGTAAAAGAACTAAAAAATATTTCTAACATCTAATTTTGAAAAGTATACAATTTATTTAAAACATTTAAATAAGCTGCTTCACATCTTAAACATATTGGTTAATCAAAATTATGATTTGCATAGAATTCATTCTATGCCCTTGTTATGGGCTGAACTGTGTCCCCTCAAAATTCATGTGAATAAGTCCTAACTCCCAATACCTCAGAATGTGACTGTATTTGGAGATATATAGAGTCTTTAAAGAGGAAACTAAGGTAAAATGAGGTCATATGAGTGGACCCTAATCCAATATGTCCTTATAAGAAAAGGCAATAGGACACAGGCACACATGGAAGACCACATGAAGGAAGGCACTGAAGGAAGAAGGCCATCTAGAAGCCAAGATGAGAGGCCCTCAGAAGAAATCAATCCTGTTGGCACCTTGATTTTGGACTTCTGGCCTCCAGAAATGCTAGGAAATAAGTTTCAGTTGTTTAAGCTTTCTCGTCTGTGTTGTACTTTGTGAATGGCAGCCCTAGTGAACTAATACAGCACTAGAAAAAAATTAGTGTTATTACAATCCAAAAAATAAAAATCACAATGTGGGAAGAATTTATTTTACCATCATAATATTTAATACATCTACCTCCATATTACAAGGTTAAGCCAAAAGCAAATGTATGTAGGTAACATCTATTTCTGTATCACGCTATTATAATTATTTTTTTAAATATCACACATACCTTTCACCTAAATTTTTACAAAGGTCAAAACTAATCCTTAATTATTTGGTTATTAACTCAATTAAAGAAAAGAACTATGAACAGTGGAATGCCTCTAAAATTAACTTAGTAAGAAAATGCTAGTAATCTAGCATAAAAGGCAAATTTAGAATAACCTTTATAAAGATTAATAAGTAAAAGCTTTTTTTAAAGTATAATTACTTATTTTCATCAGTTATACTTTGTTATGAACTAAGTCCATGTCAAAGAATAGTTTATCACAAGAGTTTTCATAAAAGAATCACAGTGACTGATTAATCCACTTTGCCTTCAACACTTCATTTGCCCTTCAACCATCATGCAGAAAATATGTCAAAGACATTTAAGTGAGCCAAAATACAAGCTCAGAGATGTCAACTTAAAAGCCTTCCATAAAACACATCTATAATAGAGACTCATATCACAACAATATAACACAATTAATGAAGAATGAACTGAAAGATAGTCTCTTGCAGCTTTCAATATTGAGTAATATAACAGTAAATTAGTTTTTATTGCTCTTATACAATAGAGTAATCAAGTATTCCCTTTTACACTGAATTGGCTCTTTCTTTTTCTAAATTACTGTAAAACTGCAATTGTATATTATCATGATTCCAATCAGAAAGATAGTATTTTATAAAAAGTTCTATGGGATAAATTTTTGTGACATAACATTATATTCTTACCTCTAGATTTAATCATCTTAGGACACTGGAGTTGCAAACTGATTTACTTAAGTGGTCAATTCATAGCCTTTTTCTTTCCCTTGAATGCACTTGGAAATTGAACCAGGGCTAAAATAGCATTAAAAATACCTTTCCATTTAGTTTTTTGCACTCTAACAACACTATCACCCATAAAACAGCTAATTGCTATTTTAAATAAATGGGGAAAATTTTTTTTTAAACGAGTACATAATTAGAAGTTCTGTAAAGCTGGAATAATTCCAAATTTAATGTTATTTTATCACAAAAAAGTTAAGTTCTAAAATATAAAACTAATAAAGTTAAAAACACTATTGCTTATTTTTAATATGCATAAACAAACACATATTAATTGCTCACTGAAAAAACACAACTTTTAAAAAATTTTGGACTCTTGATCTACCTTCCAAGTCTAGAGACTTTGTGGAGATCCGATCCTCTTAAGGACCACTTAGTTTTATTTGGTTCCAGGGCATATACAGTATCACCCTTAGGACCTAGGCAAGAGCCCTCCACTCTGAGTTCTAAACTCTCGAGGGATCTCCCTACTTGTCCTCTGAAAACATCTTTTACCACATGATAATTCCATGGGACAAAGAACATGCCCATCCAGAGCCTGCCCTGCCCTCCCCTGCCCTTTGGAGTACCAGGGCCCAGAAATCTGTGTCCCAACAGCCCCAAGCCAGCTTCTAGAGCCTCCCTGTCAGGGCAGTCAACCTTGCAGGTAGTAACCTCCCTAGCCTGAGTAGCTGGCAAGGGGCTGCGCTTTGTAGGAGAGTGAAGAATGCTGGTATGTCTGCAAGAAGGGCCCTCATAGTTTACACGAGGGCCAGATCTAGGAGGAGAGGGTTTGGGCTGCCCTATAGGCTGACTCCCCCACACTCCACCACATTCCAGTGGGTAGCTGGAGCCCCAGCACTCTAAACCCACACTTGGCCTTCCAGATCACTGAGCTACTTCTCAAGGCAGGTGAAAAAGGTCTATTTTATTTAGCAGTGTATTAGTTTGATTTATAACTTTTAAATGTTTAGACATAGGGTCTGAGGGCCTCCATATACTTTTTGCCCCAGGTGCTGCAAATTTTAGATGCAGACCTGGAAACATGCCAACCCAAACTTCAAACTAGTCAGTGTGCATGAGTCCAACAGCTGGTACAAAGCCTACAACAGCAAGAGTTCAATAAGCACTTGACAGATGAATGATGACGTATAGCCAAAAGGACTGAGAAAAAGATATGTGGAATATAAATGCAAATTTATTACTTCAACTAGAAATGAAACTAAAAGTAAAAGATATACATTACTAGCTCTAATATGCTGTCTGTTCTGATGCTAATCTAATAATCTCTGACCAATATCTAGCTCTAATATGCTCACTGTCTGTTTTGATGCTAATCTAATAATCTCTGACCAATATCTTTAAGTTTTTCTTTAGTATCTGAAAAGGCTGTCAGTCCTAAAATGATTTAAAACACACATCTTGAAAAAGACATGTCCCTCAAATCATTGTTACACTGTTATGGTTTTAACTACTACAATAATGATTTTTTAATGAGTACATAAATTTCGCTCAAAAGTTAAATAGGTACCAACTATTAAGAAAACATAAAAAGATTTTGAGTCAAAAATAATTATATGCAAATTAACATTTAAAAAATGCAACTTAAGCTTCAAGTTATTTCCATTTTAATGTAATATTCTCAAATTTAAAAATAAATACAAATAGGGCTCATAAAAAGAGAAAGCTTAATTTTAGTAATTAAGTTATTCTCTAGCAACAGGTCTCTTCCATCACTTGTCAAATTCTTTAGTATTTGACTACAACAACCAGTTTTACACTTAAGGGGTCACATACAACCTTAATTGGTATTACCATAACTTAGATATGCTGCTGATTAATTTTAATTCCAAGATTTCTATTATAAATTAAGCTTGTTTTCCCCTAATTAATAAACTGTGAGTTTTAATTCATGTTCTCTTCTAGTTTATCCATTCAAACACAAACCAAGCAT